TCTCGGAATCTCTAGGCACAAGAAGAGGCTCAACCCATCATGGGACAGTCTTGGCCTCGTGGTGGCTTGTCCACAGGAGATTCGGCAATGTGTAAATATTCAGGAGACTGGCCCAGGTGCAGGGCTGCGCGGGTGCGCTGCTGTCCCTGTCCCGCCGCCGCCAACTCAGTCCGTGAGGCTGAGCATGGGGTGCCACTGCAGCAATTTGTGAGCCTGTGCCAAGCCGCACACCGCGACCAGTATTCACTTCTTCTGAAAACAATTTATAGAAACTTCATAATTTTACACAGGACAGATGGAAGAAGTATTTTAAAATAATATTACCTGAAATAGTTATAATGCAGATTAATTATTCAAGGAAATAAAATCCTTGAACTGAGATTACCATTCATTCACTCCTTCAAACATTTCTTGAGTGTACTCTAAGTTCCTAGGTTAGATAAAGAAGTGAATCGAATACTGTCCCTACTCTCAAGAAACTTATCCTCAGGTAAGAAAGAGAGATACATAGACAAATAGGAGACAAGAGGGAAAAGTAAAGTGTGTGGACATCCATTCATTTAATTCATTTAACAATCAACTGTGTATTTTCTACATGCCAGACCCCGAGCTAGGTGTCTTATTCAATCTTCATAATAGGTTTATGAGGTGGGTGCTGAGATAGCCGGGTGGGAGGGGGTTGCTGCAGAAACTCCAGCCAGCCTGCCCACTGAGGTGGAACCTTGGAAAGTTTGCTACATTTGCAGTAGGGAGGAGCCTAGCCCCTCCTCTTCCTGCGTGGAACCTGGAATTCGAACAGTGGGCAGGAAGCACTCTAGCAGGGGGCTCTGGCCTTGTGGAGGATCCCTGTTCCCCCCCTTTTTAAACCTTTCCACCTAATAAAACCCTGCTTCGCTCACCTTTCAAACCATCTCCGAGCCTACATTTTCATGGCCATGGGACAGACAAGGACCCTGTCTTTAACTGAACTAAGGAAAAGTCCTGCAACAGTACGACTATTCCTATTTTGGGAGATGAAAAAGATTGTATTCAATGAAAGGGTAAGTTTACTTTCTTCAAGTTAATGCTATTAGCAAATTTCAGAAGTGAAATTTGACCCCAGACTGTTTGTTTCTACTACTTCATAATTAGTCTAATCAATATTTAATATAATTAAATAATAGAATTATGAGTAAAGTGTAGGAAACACAGAGAAGGGAGTGGTTTTCTTCAGATTGGTTTATAAAGAGCAATTGAGAGGTTTAAGTACCAAAAGCAGTTGACTATAAAGGAAGGCCTAATTGACATTGTAACTAGATGACAGCGAGGATTTCTGTGAATTTTGCAAAGGGTTGCGGATGTGTCTCTTACCTAAATAATCTTCACTGTCATTTCCAACTCAATTTCTGCTGTCTCTAAAGGAAATTACATACAACAGACTAATGGTTCGACTGCATTTCAAAATTCTGTTATCTTTGTAGCATCACTTTTAGGAGAAAGATTTTATAAATAAATGCTGTGAAAAACTTATAAGTCCTCCTGGTTTCTATTGTAGCTGTTAGCACCTCAATCTGTTGTCTGTTACTTGTTTGTTTTCCTTCAAAGCCTTGGGGAATTAATATTTCCATCCTCCAGTTATGGTGCAGTTATTTAATAAATGAATTAAGTAGATGTATCTACCTAGCAACTGTAGGTATTTAATAAATGTTTCTTGAATGAATGAATGAATGAATGAATGATTCAGTGGTGTATACCAATGGTAGCATAGATAGCTAAATATAGTGAGACCTTCAGGTTGGGTACTCAATGTACATAGTCTTCTTACGAAAATGTAATCAAGTTTCAAAGGCTGCAGCTACTTACTCTAAATTAAAGAAACCATTAGTTTGGTTTCTTTAATTGAACAAACAAAGCAATTATTTCCTGCTCTATATTTGTAGCTTAAGATAATGCATTTTAAATAGAGCTCGTTGCGTGTGTTTTTTACCGGTTAGTTTTCTTGGTTTTAACACTCATTGTGTGCAAAGGCCTCTTAGAAAATTCAAAATAAAAGTCTCCCTTTATGGATTTTGTCATTTTCCATTTGTCAAATATTGATTTTCTCCCCCCTTGTAAGTCTAATGGAGGTTGAAATTAGTGTTCCTTTTTTTGTTGTTGTTTACTTCTTATTTGTACGCTGTCATCACTATTCATCAAGCTGCCAGGTTGCTCTGGGGCTGGGTGCTGGTGAGTTAACTAGTGTTCTAAAGTCTGCACAAGGAATATTTTGAATAGACTTTTGGTATAGCTTTTGCTTTTGCCTTTAGTATTTCTTTCTAGGAAAGATTTCAAATATAGAAAACACTTCCTAGAAAATGACAATTTTTTAAGGAAGAAAAAATATTCAAAACTATTCCTTTCAACTTTTTGATAATTTAAGACCTTCTGAAGATCCAACAGAAAATATTAAGAAGATTAAGCAACCTAACTATCTTCTTGAAAATTCTACATGAACCTAAGGTGCCATATAGTCAGTCAGTCTGCTCTTCCTATCGTGACACTGGAGGACATGTTCTGTGCAGCCCTTGCTGAGCCTTGAGAGCCTTGGCCACAGTTGGAAAGGAAGCATCCTTCTAGTTAGCTGGGGAAGGGGCTTGGGCTAGTGGCTATAACACTTGGATTTGTGCTTGTGAAAACACATTTGTCTGTTTCTCAGATTGATTGGATTCACAATAAACTTCCCTTAACACCGAGAGTAAATCCAGGAGAAGATAATTTATCCTAAGGGTAAGAATGCTAATTTCTTAGGAAGGGCACTGCATTTGATCATGAGAAATAGGATGTGATGAATTTGGCAGGTAAAGAATAAAAAGATAGACCCATAGATGCCATATTCATTAAAAAACAAAACACCAGTGGAGGTGTTCTATGTACTTGTGATTTGCCCATATCTGTGAGGGGTGTGGCTACCTGTCTGTGGTTTGGCTATATTGATGGAGATATGGATGGCTCATTTCTCTTTCATTCTCTTACCACACTGAATAATAGTATATTTTGCAATGGTGGAAATCTTCTGTGCTGTCCACTAGACATGTGGTTGTTGAGTTCTGGAAATATGAACAATGTGGCTGAGAAATCTGAAATTTTAATGTTATTTAATTGTAATTAATTCAAATTTAAATTTGAATGGACATATTTGCCTAGTGGTCACTGTATTGGACAGTGCGGTGAATCCACATTGATTCAAATGGTCATGACCATACAATGGCCAAAAAACAAGTGAAAAAATGCTCCACATCACTAATCATCAGAGAAATGCAAATCAAAACCACAATGAGATACCATCTCATAGAAGTTAGAATGGCTATTACTAAAAATTCAAAAAACAGCTGATGCTGGCAAAGGCTGCAGAGAGAAGGGAACACTTATAAACTGTTGGTGGGAGGGCAAATTAGTTCAGCCACTGTGGAAATCAACTTGGAGATTTTTCAAAAAACTTAAAACAGAACTACCATTTGACCCAGCAATCCCATTACTGGGTATATATCCAAAAGAAGACAAATCTTTCTAACAAAAAGACACATGCACCTGCATGTTCATCGCAGCATTATTCACAATAGCAAAGACATGAAATCATTCTAGGTACCCACTAATGGTGGACTGAATAAAGAGAATGTGGTACATATACACCATGGAACAAGATCATGTCCTTTACAGGAACATGGATGCAGCTGGAGGCCCTTATCCTAAGCAAATTAATGCAGGAACAGAAAACCAAATACAGCATGTTTTCACTTATAAGTGAAACATTGGGTACTTATGGACATAAAGATCCGAACAATAGAAATTGGGGATGACTAGAGGGAGGAGGACTGCAGGAAGGAAGCGGGGAAGGGTAGTAAACCTCGTTATTGGGTACTATGTCCAGTACCTGGGTCAATCATACCCCAAACCTCAGCATCACCCAAGATACCCAGGTAACAAACCTGTATGTGTATCCCCTGAATCTAAAATAAAAATTGGAAAAAAAAAGGGTCATGAAAGCTTTGCTTTCTAAGTTAGGTTTTCCCGAAGTGCCCAGGCCTAAAACCCTGTGCTTGATTTATCTACTACATGCAGACGCTGCACTCGGTTCCAACTGCACAATGATAGACAAGGCACAGTCTGTGTCCTAAAATCTTACAGCCTAGTACTTTCTCACAACACCAGACTGTCTCCTAAGAAGGCTGAGTAGGTTCTAATGAGTGAAATCATACCTATCTTATTTATTAAAATATTTCGGTGAATGGTAGACTGTAACATGATAGAAAACAACTGCTTCACAGACTGTTTGAGGCTTGATTACCAGAGGAATATATAATAAATAGTTTCTTCTTTTGGCATTGATAATTGATCCATTTAAAAAACATTATTGAGGTAAAATATGTGTATAGTTTCAATATTTCAGACTTGGCACTCTCTTTATATGCTCAAGTATTGTCAAATTCTGAAAAACTTGCTGACCTGAACCAGCGTGATTGTAGAGGCAAGGCCTGGGTTAGAATCCTGGCCCCTCTACTCTCTCGCTTTGGGCTTTAAGCAAATAACCTCTCTCCCTGAACCTCAGTTTCCTCATTTGTAAATAGGGCTAATTACATCTTTTTCATAGTGTCATTGAAAGGATTAAATGCGGTATTATAAGTAAATTAACTAGAACAATAATGCTAGCTGACATTTAATACTCATTCACTATGCACCAGATACAGTCTAGGCACTTCACAGGCCTCAATTTATTTAATCTTTCAATCAATATGATGGTGTTATTGTTATTTTCACTTTAAATATGAGGAAATTAAGGTACAGGGAGATGCATGTTTTCCAGCACATTGTGAACACTCAATGGCTGTTTTGTAATTGTTTTCTTATTATTATTGCTCATGATTTCTTGCAGTTGTCCATGCAGATAGCCAGTCAAACATTAAATAAAACAATGCTGTTATTTTTTGTAGCCCAATTAGATGTTATTCACGTTTCAGTTTCTGCCTTTTCCGAACCCCACTTACTATTATGTCTCCTCCTCTTATAAACTGGAGTCTGGGCTGGATAAATAGCATATCATAAAGGTAGATGATATCACATATGATGTCCACAATAAGCCAGTAGTGTATGTTGTCTGGGGTTTGATATGGGAAGACGAGGCGCAGTGGTATAAACCAGCAGTTCCAGTTATAGGCAAGGCTGACAATCAAGAGCCACAGGAGATAGAGTCGATCTGGAAAAACAGCAAGTGGAGCAATCCAAATGACAGAGAACAAACACAGAAAGAATTCTCTTGCTTAGTTTGGGGAGGTTGGGATACTAACCTCTAGAGAGCCGTTTGCCATAGGAGGCTCTATTAAACATTCAACACAATTCTGCCTCTGGACTGTGAGGCACCAGGCTTTACAAGAGATGTTAAATGATCTTATCACCTCTTCTGAAAGTGGATAGTTTCCTTCCAGTCTCCTGAAGAAGTGGCCACTCTGAGTCTGTCCACACAGGTAACTACTATTTGAATCAGGAAAGAATTTCACGAAAAGTCGGAAGGACTTTACACAGACATCACTGCAGCCGCAGATCTTTAGTTCCTCAGTAGTTAAGTTGCAGGATTGATTGCCCAGGGCAGGTGGCAGAAAGGCCACATCCTGCCAGAAGGAGGATGGCACTAAATGGGAGGGCAGAGGGTCAGCCCATTAACGTAGTCCATGTCCCTTCACACATAGCCCTTCTCTGCCTATGGGAGGCCGCAGGAAAGGATTTGTTCAATTAGAATAATCAACAATGTGAAGCCATGGAAGAAGACTGACACTTTATAATGAATTGCAAGTGTGTCAGTGCACATATTGTGGAGTGCTTTGGGCCTTCTTTTCCGAGGTAATTAGGGGCAGGAGAGGATCTGGACTGCCTTTTAAATATAGGCAGGAATATTATATTTCTTATCTTCACCAAAGATGGGCAAATGATCCTTTGCAGGTTATATAACTTCAATTCTGCTTGCTAGTTAGATTGAGATTATGAGGTAAGGAAAATAGAAGCTATCGGTGACTTCGAGTCACAAGGTTTCTTGGTGATAGACAGCCCTCCCACTACAATAGTTCACCCTTTGTTAATACCTGTGTATGAATCTATGCTGCTTGGAAGTTTAAGTCGCTTTAAGTACTCTGTTAAAGGCATCTTCTTGACTTTGAAACACAACAGCCTGTAGTAATGTTCTTCTGTTGGCTTATCATCGCTTTCTTTTACTGGTGGTACAGCCGTGGGCTTTGCTTCGTAGGAAAAAAAAAAAAAAGATGAAACATTTAAAGAGGTTAAGTTAGCTTAGTTAAAAACTTGAATTTGTTAACCAAACACCGAATGTTCTCACTCATAAGTGGGAGTTGAACAATGAGAACATATGGGCACAGGGAGGGGAACATCACACACTGGGGCCTATCAGGGGTGGGGGACAAGGGGAGGGATAGCATTAGGAGAAATACCTAATGTAGACCATGGGTTGATGGGTGCAGCAAACCACCACAGCGCATGTATACCTATGTAACAAACCTGCGTGTTCTGCACATATATCTCAGAACTGAAAGTATAAAAAAACCCAAAAAACTTGAATGTCTTAAAGTCAGAACATTTAGGAATCTTCCTCTTTTGATACAGACAGATGAAACAAAACCTTCATGACATTTAAAATATTGACATTTATTTCACTGTGTGTGTGTGTATAAAGAAAAAATATGTCAATGTAAAAAATTAAAGGAAACACAATTTTTAAAATAAATAAATGTTTTTAAATTTTTCCAAAATAAAAAAAGAACAGGAAAAACTACTAAATGATGACAAAATTCAGGATAGTGATTACCTTGGCAAGGGGGCTTTGTCACCTGGGGAGACTGTAAGTCTTCTCTAGTGAGGGAAATGTCCTTTATCTTGGAGGGTGGTGATGGTGATGCAACAGGACTATTCATGTGTAAAAACTATCCAAGCATGGCGACACAGGCCTGTAGTCCCAGCTCCTTTGAAGGCTGAGGCAAGAGGATCATTTGAGCCCAAGAGTTAGAGGTGGCAGTGAGTTGTGACTGTGCCACTACACTCCAGCCTGGGTGACAGAGCAAGACCCTGCCACTAAAAGAATAAAATAAGATTAAATAAATATATAAATAAAATGTTTGTCTACACTGAAATATTTATGGATGGAATATAGTGTCTGGAATTTGCTTTAAAAATTCATTGTAACTCCAATGTTGTGGAAAATAAAATTTTAAAAAATGAAAAAAGAATATGTTAAAATAATTGAACTGTACACTTAATTGTGGATTTTACAGTTTATGTCTCAAATAAAAATGTAAAGTATAAAATAAAGGCATTCTCTAAAAAAGAAAACAAATCATGTTGTATATCCTAAAGTATACAATAAAAACAAAATAAAATAGTAACATTTATGAAAATATACAGGTAAGGAAAACACTGGAATTTGGAAATATGTAACAGGTTTAAAGCTCACAAATAAGGTGTCACAAAGGTGTTACAAATAGAATATTTTAAATACAAGCTTGATTTTCACATACTTTGGAGCATCAATAAAGTCAGAGATCAGAAACACTGCAAATGTACGTCATTCTGCAGGTTTTGGTTTGGTGCTTCTTTACCCTCACATATGTCACACACAATATTCTTTTCAATATATCTTTATAAAAGCATAATGACTATGATTTCTTTTAGCCTCTTCTGTTTAAAAAGAAACTGTTATACAATACACAGTTTATTTTGAAAACCCACATTCTCTTATACAGAACTATGAGGAAGCTCAACTCCATCCCATGTAATTATCAACTTGATTTGCTTTTATATGTTAAACGACCAAGCTTTGTTCTATTCTTTTTCTGTATATATATGTAAATATTTTACATAGATGTAATCATAGTATATATTATTTTTGTGCTCTACATATTGATTTTTTTTTTTTGGAGTCTTGCTCTGTCACCAGGCTGGAGTGCAGTGGCGCGATCTCGGCTCACTGCAACCTCTGCCTCCTGGGTTCAAGCGATTCCCCTGCCTCAGCCTCCCGAGTACCTGGGACTACAGGCACGTGCCACCATGCCCAGCTAATTTTTTGTGTTTTAGTAGAGACGGGGTTTCACCATGTTGGCCAGGATGGTCTTGATCTCCTGACCTAGTAATCCACCCACTTCGGCATCCCAAAGTGCCAGGATTACAGGCATGAGCCACTGTGCCTGCCTGATTAATTTTCATAAACACATTTTTGTAATTATTAGGGTGGTTGATAATAGTCCCTCCCTTTACGTGATTGGTTTGTTGATGTCCTTTGCTCTGTTGGATACCCAGGTAATATTCCTGTATTTTTATAATATGTACTTTGCATAATATGGGTATTTTTAATATTTACAATAAAATTTGCTATAGAAGATACTGTTTGTGTCCTACACATATACCCTGAGCCTGGAGATCACCTGTAGGAGGGTTCCCTGTGTCTGTCGGAGGATTTCCTTGAGCAGGTTTACTTAAAGTGCTGGGGAGGTAACAGTATGAAGCTCCAGCACCAATCAGTTTCCTCCTCTTCCATTCAGATAATTCTCAAGTATGATCCACACAGCTTTTCAGCTGGATAAAGCCCCAATGGCACAGTAGGCCCTCACTATGTTGCCCAGGCTGGTTTCAAACTCCTAGGCTCAAGCAGTCCTCCTGTCTTGGTCTCCCAAAGTGCTTGGATTATGGGTGTGAGCCACTGCATCTGGCCAGTGATCCTCTTACTAACCCATCTGTACATCTTAACTTTCTTCTCTGTCTCACCACTTGTACCTTCCTGGATCACTCTCAAAATAAACTGTGTGTAAATAATTTTCTCAGGATCTGCTTTTGGGAGATCCAAACTGAAACATCTGCAAAACACAGGTACCCTCATTACTTCCTTCTTCCCAGTACTTGGAGGGAGCAATGCTTACCAGTTTGTGGGCTGGCTTCGGGTGAGGAGAGATCTCCCTCTACCAACTTTTTCTTGTAGAGGGCTGTTCTTTGACGCATTCTTTTCACCAGGTTGTGTAGCTGGGCATCAGCATACTCATTTATAACAGGAGCTGCAGGCGATTTGTTTTGTGGGCTAAATGAGAAAAAAATGGCAATAGAGATGGGCCCACGAAGAGATAGATACAAGGGAAGGATTAAACTTTTCACCTTCCTTATATATTCAAGATTATTAACTTCCCCTTCTTTCGCAATTGAATAGTACAATTCAAACATTAGGTTTAATGGAAATAGTGCTGGTGGAATACAGATTTGTTATTAAAAATATTAGAATCCTTAAATAGCAAGTGGTAACTCTTGACTATATTGGATCTTGATGACGGTGATTCTGTCATTACATTGTATCACTAGGACAAGTAAAGCTACAGATGGTGGGGCAGGCAGGCGCCTAAGATGACCCTAAGATTCCCTGCCCTTGGTATATGTGCCTGCATAATCCCGGGGACAATAAATATGGTGGTTTTATCCCCATCAATAGTCCATGTTATATGGCACAGTTGATAAGGAGATTATGTAGGTAGGCCTGATCTAATCATACCAGGCCTTTTAAAGTAGACTTCCTCCCACTGCTCACACAGCAAGAAGGCAGAGATTTGAAGCATAAGGGAGATTTTACTTGAGAGAAATTCACCATGGCTGATCGTGAAGAAGAGGGTCACCTGGTTAGAATTTCATGAGGCCTCTAGGAGGTTGAGAGTGATTCCTGGCTAGCTATTCATAAGAAAACAGGGACTTCAGAGGTACAACTGCAGGGAACTGATTTTGCCAAAAACCTGAGTGAGCTTGGAAGTAGATTCTTCACCAAAACCTCCCAATGGGAGCCTGGTCTGGCCTGGCCAACACCTTGATTTCAGCCTTGTGAGACCTGAAGCCAAGAACCCAGCTGAGCCCACCCAGACTTCTGATTCAGACCCATTTGCTAATGTGGGCTTTAATTTAATTTTATTTATTTGTTTTATCTTCAACTTTTATTTTTGGGTGTTGTTTTAAATCACTTAAGTATGTGGTAATTTGTTTTGTGGCAATAGAAAAATAATGTAGCTGCTGTGCTTCAATGAACTTCCTTTTGTTTTTTTGTTTTTGTTTTTGACTGAGTCTCACACTGTCACCCAGGCTAGAGTGCAGTGGTATGATCTTGGCTCACTGCAATCGCTGCCTCCCAGGTTCAAGCAATTCTCATGCCTCAGCCTCCCAAGTAGCTAGGACTGCAGGTGTGTGCCACCACACCCAGCTAATTTTTGTATTTTTAGTAGAGACTGGGTCTTACCATGTTGGCCAGGCTGGTCTCAAACTGCTGACCTCAGGTGATCTGCCCGCCCTGGCCTCCCACAGTGCTGGGATTACAGGCATGAGCCACCGTCCCTAACCAATGAACTTCCATTCTGAGAAAATATACAAACAGCCCAGCATGGAGCGTAGAGTAGACATTAGGATACTTCATCAAGACCTGAGTTTCCTCACAGATTTTCCTCAGAGCTCTCACTGTCTATCTTCCTTCCAATGTCTGACATTGGGTCTACATGAGCCCATGTAGGCTCCATCCATTCTCATCTCCTCATATCTGCCCCTCCTATCTCACCTCCAAGTGGCAGCCCATGGGGTTCACAGTGGATCTGGGTAACTTGTAGATTCCACTTAAGAAAATCTCAGTATGAGATTTTCCCCTCTCCATGAACCCCTTCCTTATGTGGCCCACAAATATATCACATCTATAACTGTTTATAGATTCCCAGACTATCAGTGTTTTTCTCTCTTCCCTCATTATCATAGTACGATTTATGCTTCTTTCAAAGGTAAATGGTCCTGTCTCAGAATCAAGATCTCCAAGTATGTCACATTAAGACATATATAAGCTTGCCTAAGGATGGTGGAGACCAAGAGGCAATGAAAATAGTTCAGATTCATCTTAAACGGTTCAGAAATAGGTGGACACTAGGTCTGTAAAGCCAGAATAACTTTTTTTCTGGTTAAGACTTGTTGTCATAGATATAATTTCACGGATTCCTTCTTAAAATCTTGGTGTGCTTAGAAGTTTATTCATCCATCAAGCAGTTATTGAGTTTCTACTTTATGTACTGCAAATAGAAATTCAAGTTAGACAGCGGCAGGTCCGATAGTTGTTCATAGTTTAATAGGGGAAACAAGGATGTCAATCCATAGCTAATGATAAATAATAAAAACATGTGCAAAGTACTTTGCTCCACACTGAACTTAGCCTGGGGTGTCAAGGAGGGGCTTTGTGGAGGAAGTGCACTGTCTTAAGGGACTAGCATATCTTTGACAGATAAATGATAGACTGGTCTTTTAGCCATGGAGAGTGATATGTTCAAAGGCATGAAAGAACATGGCATGTTCAGCAAATTTTGGTGTGATTGGAACAGAGTATAAGTGTGTGCATAGGGGGCCAGGTGGCAGAGGGTGGCAGGAGTGATGGTGGTTGGGTCTGGAAAGGAAAGGTGAGTGAAGCCAGGTTATGATGGTCCCATGTGATCTAGTGAGGAGTTTAGACATTAAGCAGTGGGCAAAGAGACCCAATGCAGAGTATTAAGCAGACAAAAGGCCTGAGCAGACAGCATTGAACTTTGAAAAATTAGCAATAGTGAGAGGATAGGTTAATGAGCCACACATGGAGCTTTCGGATAATTCAAAGAAATCAAGAACGACTCAAGTTTCTATTACAAGAGACTAGACTCATGAGGATGACATCAATATAAATAGGAATTCAGGAAGCAGATGTTTGTATGTAGTAGCGGCATGAAAAAATTAGTTACTTTTTGTGTATCTTCAGTTCGAGGTGTTTGTAGGACCTTGTGTGATAAAACCTTGTTTGTAATATCCGGGAGACATTCAGAAATACAGTTCTGGCAATAAGAACTTGGTATTCATCAGTGAATATGGAATATTTGAAGTGATTTATGTGTATAACATCATCATAGACTGTAAGATTCTCAAAGCAAGGAACTATGTCTTTTCTTCATTCTCCATAAGACCAGCACAAAGTAGGTTTTAAATAAATGCTTATTGAGTAAATATACCCACTACTTCTAACTATTTGTTCGACCTTAGTTGATGTGCCTGAGTGCTTTAAAATATATGTAAAAAGCTAAGTTGAAGATTGGTGAATCATTAACTATAAAGTCAGGTATTCAAACTGCCAAACTCTCTAATGTCCCAAGATCTGAGGAGAATATTTTTTCTTTCCCTGAATTATCTATAAGCCCTAATTGACCATATAATTGCCATTTAGTTATATTACTTTGTAGTGTGCAAACCCACCTCATTGTTAAAATGCTGAAATTCATATGAAAAGAATGCAAGCATATCAAATACGTATCTATATTTTAACTACTATGCGTTTTTGTCTTTATGTTAGCTGGAGCATTATGATGTCATTTTATTTCATCTTCTTGTCTTTCTCCAGCTTCTTTTCTAGGATCCTTGCCCTTCTCCTCTGCATATATACATATAGAAGCTATGAATGTATTTTTCTTTGGGTAATTTTATGATGGGACAGGAAAGGCAAATAGAAAGGAAGAAACATACATCATGAGATAAAATCCAAAAGAGATAAAAGAAAAAACCAGTGAATTTGCTTTATATAACTATGCTTCATGTGAGCTCTGTTTGCTATTTCTTATTTATATTACTAATTTTTATGTTTTGTAAAACATTGTTTCTCGTAATTCCACGATGAAAGTTTTGGTAAACAGTAAAAATATCCTACAATTTAACTCTATGTGTGTGTGTGTGTGTGTGTGTGTGTGTGTGTGTATGTGTGAGATAGGATCTTGCTCTGCCGCCCAAGCCTGAGTGCAGTGGTACAATCATAGATCGCTGCAGCCTTGACTTCCCTGAGCTCAAGCCATCCTCCCACCTCAGCCTCCTGGGTTGCTGGGACTACAGGTGTGCAACACCACACCTGGTTATTTATTGATTTATTTTTTTGAGACAGGGTCTTCCTCTGTCACCCAGGCTGGAAAGCAGTGGCAGGATCTCGGCTCACTGAAACCTCCGCCTTCCAGGTTCAAGCAATTCTGCTGCCTCAGCCTCCCGAGTAGCTGGGGTTACAAGTACACACCACCACACCTGGCTAATTTTTGTATTTTTTGAAGTAGAGACAGGATTTCATCATGTTGGTTAGGCTAGTCTAGAACTCCTGACCTCACGTGATTCACCTACCTTGGCCTCCCAGAGTGCTGGCATTTCTTTTGTGTGTGAGTGTGTGTATTTTTTGTAGAAATGAGGTTTCACCAGGTTGCTCAAGCTGGTCTCAAACTCCTGGGCTCAAGCAATCTGCCTGCCTCAGCCTCCCAAAGTACTGGGATTACTGGTGTGAGCCACTGTCCCCGACCGATTCTATAAATGTTGATAAACATAGAAGGAAACTCATATTGGATAGTTGTTATTCTATTCTATTCTATTCTATTCTATTCTATTCTATTCTATTCTATTCTATTCTATGGTTGGTGTCTCACTCTGCCACCATCATAGCTCACTGAGGCCATAAACTCCTGAGCTCAAGCAATCTTCCCACCTCAGCCTCCTGAGTAGCTGGCAACAGATGTGTGCCATCATGCCTTACTAATTTATTTATTTTTTGTAGCGATGGGGTCTTGATTTGTTGCCCAGGCTGGTCTTTAAGCCAGGAGCTCCTGGCTTGAAGTAGGTTCCTCAGCCTCCCAAAGTACTGGGATTGCAGACGTGAGTCACCAAAGATGGTCAGTAACCATCTTTTATTGAGAAGAATGAGACTAAAAATTTATTTATATCTCTCTATGAAAGAATAAAGGATTTGTTATTGTTTGAATAAAATTTGTGACTTTTTTTGATATAGGTACAAGGGAAGCTCATTTTTTAAAAAGCTGATGAAAAAGAAAAGAACAATAGCAGTTTCCTTATTTCTTTAAATTCAGTCTGAGGCACAGGCCAAAAAATTGTATAATTAACAATTAGGGTTACAGAAGTTTTTACCCTCCAGGGCAATGCTAGTAAGATTGGAATGGGTGAGGCGAGTTAAGTTTTTTATTTTTGGGGGTAAAGTGGTGGGGTTGGAGGGAAGTCCATTGTGAAAGGGAA